TCTAAAAGTGGTTGCCAAAGAATTTCACATGGAAGCCAAAAAGATTTAGCGTGCCATTCACCTCTCCTACAAATCTAACCATAGCCACTCTGAACAAAAGCTCTGAATCAATCACAGACTGACACTGGCTTGAAGATCACCAGAGTATCTAAGATCTTGTCCCCAGCAAGAAAGAGGGACCCTTTGTCCTACAAGACTTTCCAAATGGCCAAGCAGCCACAGAGAAAGAGTACAGAGGTTGTGTGGTGAGTGTGAGTGTGTGTATGCGTGTGCACGTGTGCCAGTTCACTGTCTTTCTGTTTACAACTCATTTCTCCTGCCCTCCACACAGTTGTATTAAAATAAGCACAATATTTTGAGACAACTGTATGCTTTTGTAAAGTTAAGAATCCCACAGGCTGGAGAATAACCAGCCGACACTAGCTGGCCTAGTTCACTCATTTAAAAATGTACAGAACACATGGATGCCCAGCTCCACAGCATGACAGAAGAACGCAAAAGGGCTAGCGGCGAGTTTGCTCCCCAGCCACTGGCTCGCCCTTGCTCCTTCCAAAGCCGTGTATCTAATTTTGCACTTGTAATTTACATTCTTTTTCTTAGAGATGGGCCCCTCTCCCCAACTGTAACGAGTTTCAAAGGGTCACAAAACCTGGATTCGCCTCCGGACAGGCTTTGAGGATCGCACAGTCTGGCGAGAAGGCAGGCATGCAGAGAACAAGATAACATGATAAACCCTTTCTAGCAGTGAAGACCAAGTGTCCGTGTATCCTGGGAGCACAGGTGAGGGCACAGTTAACCGCCCCCTGCCCTGGAGGATTGGGAAAGACTTCTCAGAACTGGTCGGTCTCACAGGATGAGTAAGAGTGCGACAGGCAGGGAATGAGGGCAGAGAGGAGGGAAGGAAGAGGACGTTCCCAGGAGTGAGAACAGCCCAGGCCAGTGGTTCTCAACTGGGGACGATTTTGCCCCCTCCTCCGAGGGACATTTGGCCGCATCTGGAAACATTTTTGGTTGTCATAAATGCGAGGGGAGTGGTGCCACCGGCATCTGGTGGGTAGAGGCCAGGGACGCCGCTAAACATCCTACGATGCACAGGAGAGCCCCCCACAGCGAAGCATGACCGGCCCAACGTCAACAGCGCCAAAGCTGAGGGGGGCCTGGTCTCAGCAAAGCTACAAAAGACGTGCTGTTTAGGTTAAAGGTGAGAAGCTGCCTGTAGCTTTGGCAAACACGGTGCTTCAAATGGCTGCTTTCATGGAAGAGAAAACCCAGTAACAAAAGAGGACAAATTAAACTTCCAAAGAGCCAAGAAACCAGTCTGAGCAGATGCCTTATTCTACAAACGGGTCTTGCACCAACAGTGTTAGAAATTGGGAGCCTAAGGTGGGTTTCCTCGTCCTGTGGCATGAAAAGCACGTGTCTCAGGGATCCTGTCCTCAGCTCAGAGCAGTGGCCCACATCCTTCCTTCCTTCCAGGATGGCCGAGCGAGGAGCAAGGCACAGGGAGGACCAGATGTTCCACGGGGCGCGGCCAGGAGGGGTTCTCAACTGCGACTGGGCGCAGAGTGGATGTTACTTTTGTTAGAACTCAAGTACGAGAATGGCCTGAGCAAGGAGAAACAGAACCAAAGGGCTCCAGGTCCAAAAAGGAAGTGGTTATGAAGAAGGAAGAACATGGTGGGGATGCTGTGGCCACTGTCGGGGTGGGGGTGGTGGGACCCAGGCCTGACCACGAAGGCAGGAGGTGCTTGTGTGGGAATCTTGGTCCTGGGCACGGACCCTTGGAAATGGAGTGCGGAGCTTACCACCGCCACCAAAACCACCGACACCTCTGCTTCCATCTCTGCCAAAAGGAAAACAAACAAACAGAACAAACCTCCCCTAGCAGGAGACTTCCAGGAGGCAGAGAAGGCAGCCCTCAGGATGCTGGAGGTTTTTGATATAAGGGTGAAAAGCACAGCCTGAAGCTCCTTCTCAGATATACTAATTCACACTAACCCACATCCCCCTTAAGCCTCGCCTCAACCAGACCCACGTGCACAGACACAGGCCTACACTGATTTTTAAAAATAATAACAGTGAGGGAAAAGTTACATCAGTTGTAGCAGATGTCTGGAAATCAAGCTTTAACCAAGAGGGGAAAAGAAGGCCAGACTAGCAGCAAAATAAGAAGATAATTCTAAATGGACCTCATCATAGAAGCTTCAAAAAAAAAAAAGTAACTGAAACATTCCCTTTCTTTCTTTCTCTACAAAAAAAATGCTGTCACAAGGAAGGTCCTTCGTGCCTAGCATTATGCTGGGAGCTGCCGCCGGGAAAATTAAAATTCAGTTTGGATGACACAGACCCCTGAAACAACAGCAGCCTTAAGTGCCTAACTGTACGTCACAGGCTGTAAATAAAGGAAAAGGGCCTTGCAGAAGAGCCAGGCAGACAGCAGAGGACAGGTCATTCTAGACGGGAGTGAGAGGAGAAGCCGCAGCTCGGGGAAGGCAGGAGGACGGGGCAGGTGCACACACATGCACTGAGAGATGAAATACACTCAAATCTCGCCTCTATACAACCCTAAAGATACACCCAGTAGGGTCCAACCATCCTTGTCCCAGGAGATGAAAACACTACATCACGTAAGAGCACCTGGATTTGCAAGTGGGTTTCTGGTCAACTTCTGCGAAGGGAAACAGCTACCCAAGGGTCGCAAGAGCATGAGTCCAGTAGCTCACACAGCTGAACACTGGAACAGTATGGGGGGACATCAGGGTGATAGGAAATTCAAACTATCAGGGAGAGAGGCCTGCCTGCCACTGGGTCATCAGGGCTCACAGCTGGAGAGGGGGAAGGGCACTGCTCCCCTTCGGCTGTGTTTACGGCTCCTGAGAACAAACCAACTACTCCCAATTTACAAGTAAATCAGGAACAATCGCTGAACCTGTGCCGTGAGAATTGCAGCCAGTTCTCAGTGGTTGAATACACACACAGGTGAAGACTCACAACATCCGGAGCTTGACTGACCTGCTGACTGGGTGCAAAGGTGGACCTCGAAACCTGGGCATTACTAGCCAAGGGTGGTACTAATGAGAGCTGGCGATTCCTCCCACAGCTCCCCAACACCTGCTCCTCCCCCTCCAGACAATTTAGTTTATTCACTATTCCCCAAACAGATCAGCTTTGAAGCCTCCACTCCTCTGCTCAGCCACCTTATCCACCTGGAATGTTCTCCACTTACACAAATCCTATCCATCCTCTCAACCCCTCCTCTCCTCCTCTGGACTGTGTTTCTGAGCCGGCCTAAGGCATCTCTCCCTCTTCTGAACTTCCAGAACAATTAGTTTGTACAACTGCTTGGCAAAGAATCTTCTGAACTGTACAAAGCTTAACTCCTCTGTTGTTTTCCTGACCTGTTATTTAAATGAATGGAAATATTCACCTTGCCTCTTGTCTTCATTAACATGCCCCCTCTTTGAGAGGTAAGGACACACGTGATAGTTCTCTGGACCCTCCCACCTTACCTCCTGGAGTATCCTGTGCAAGGCAGAATTAAACTGCAAAGTTCTCTTCTGAGCAAAGTCAGGCTCACATTAATAATCTTTCTTCAGATTCAAGCCTCACACTTAAAGACATAGCAGCCAATGACATGTAAAAGCAAAAAACAAAACAAAACAAAGCAAACCCACCAAAAAGCACACAAAAAAGAACTAATGTAAGTACTGAAAAATCCTGGAGATCGTTATTTTACAAATTAGAAAACTCAAGACACAATGACTGGCTTAAGGTCATTTGAGGCAGGCAGGTGTGGAACCCAGGTGTGTGACCCTGCTGCTTACTCTGGGACCTAATGAAGCCAGGCCTGGAATAGATGAAGATTTGTGGGAATGCAATTTCAAAGATTAAAAGACTTTAAAAAATTTTTAAACTTAACCGGGGTAATTAATACTGAAAAGTGGGGTTAATTAAGCACCCAAACCTGGATTAAGAGTTCCACTTTATAAGCTTACGGAGTGATATTTAGCTCTAAACCCTACAAGAGATGAGGCCAGAACTTCCAGGAAACACACATACACGTCAAAACCCAGTTATTTTGAAACTCCATTTACTGTAATGTTTTCTTTAAAAGCCCAACTACTTTAAAGCTCTGCTTACATATTGCTTTATCAGGAATGAAAGAATCACAGGTAGAAGCCTCTCTAAAACAAATTCGTCCTGGAAACCCATTCCGGCGCGTTGACTTGTGACTACATTCTCAAGGATGTCAGTAACACAAGGGCTCCATCCACAACTCCTTGAAAAAACTGAAACCATGAATGCCTTGTCAAATTCAGACAGTTTATCTTGGCACTGGCAAGCAGAGCAGTCTCTTCGATGTCTGGAAACGTGTCTAATTACGTTTAGAGAGTAACCAAAAAATAGCCAGTGTCCCGGAACAGACGGCTCAGGGATCACTCCACAGCATCCTGAATGACGTGGTGGAACCACGCCAGGAAAAAAATAAAGGAGACCAAGAAAAGAACCAAGTGTGAAACCGGGATGAGACCCTAGCCTCTCTCCAAAACAACCCTCCAGTCTTCCCAGGGCCTTCGGGGCCGCCACGACTCTCCCGAAAGTTTTTCTTTCCCTTTACTTTGGTTTCCATTAGGTCACCCGGCCCGCCCACTCACTTACCTGCGGCAGCGCACTAGCCCGCCCGGCCCCCAGCGCTGCCTCCAGCTCGGCACAGCCCTGACACCCACCGTCCGGACAGCACCCAAGGACGCCCCCTCTCAGGAAGGCGCAGCCCTGGAGCTCGGCACGCCCCTTCCACTCCAATTCGGCCGCACCCCAGGGCGTACTCTCTCGGCAACCGTCGAGCTCAGCGGACCCCGGACACCCCAATCCGGCCGCACTCCATCCCTCGCGCTCGGCGCACCCCCGACATCCCCAGCCCGGCCGCACCGGGTTGCAGGGGTGCCCCGACCTGGGGAAGCGCAGGCTCGCGGCACTGCGCACCGCCCCTCCGCCCTCACCTGAGCCGGAGGTTGGCCATGAACTCGGGCATGGAGACGGTGTCCATCA